TTTTGATGATTGTTCTTCCAAAATATGGAAAAGAAATACACATACTATATGTCTGTATAAACTTTTGAGGGCTTTGGTCTTGACTTTTAACCTTTCAAGTTCAGTTGAAAGTGATTAGGAGGGTTTATCTTTCACTTATGTAGTCATTTATCATACTGGTGAAAGCAGAGTTTGGTCAAAATGATTATAAAAATAATTCTTCTTGAGAAATACTCATGAGTTTCTAGATTACATATGAATTAGGCTGTTGACATTCTAGTGAATTCCTAGAGCAAAACAAACACTGGGCAACAGGAACTTGTCACTATGCACCCCCCACAATCCCAACCATCAACTGTCGTCTGAAATATTCAGTGGAAATTCCAGAAATAATTTCTGTTCTTAATTGCACATCATTCTGTGCAGCAGGATGCATTCTTGGCTGCTCTGGCACACTGACCCATCCCTTCCAGCACACAGTGTAGTTGCTGCTTGCCCATTATTCACTTAGTAGCAGTCTGGGTGTGTGCACAAGAGAGGAGAAAGAGATAGACTGCATCCACATAGTTTGTACTACAGTATACTGTTGGGATGCTTTATCTTTCTTGTTAATCTTTTACTGTCTGGTTTATAAGTTAAGCTTTATCATAGGTATACCTGTACAGGAATAAACCCAGTATGTAAATGATACAGCCCCACTTGTGGTCTCAGGCATCTACCAAGAGCCTTAGAATGTATCTTCTGTGGGTGAAGGAGTGCTGCTATGATAATCGATCTTTTAAGGCTTTAAAATAAAACTAGTTTCATTTGTAAGGTATGTTCTTACCTTGCACAGTAAAAACCTTTCTGGAAAATGTTTTATATTCTACTATATTTTTATGTGTAGTTGATCAGAATGCCAATAGTATTCCACACAGTTTACTCATCTTCCCCTACTTACAGTTGAATCAGGGCAGGGACTGTATCTTATTCATGTTTCTGTTCTCAGCACCAACATGTGCTAGGCCCCCAGAATGCCACCCTGAATGGCAATTTAGCTAGTATGTTTAAATATTCATATATAATATATTCTAGGATGCTAGGGTTCATATCTCTAGTTTCAAGATTTTGTGAAGATAAAAATGCAATTTTACCCCATAAAAAGGTAACGATTTGTCTGAATATCTGTAGTTGTTAATACAGAAATAAAGTTTTCTTGGACTCTAATTTGAAGAGAATTATCAATTAGAAAGGGCTTTCCCAGTTTTTAGCTTTAGCAGCTAATAGAAATTGAGGGGCAGGAATCAAATTACCTTTTGAATTATCTTTTGATTATATAAGATCTGAGTATTATAATTTAAAACCCATCATTATTGATGATACTAGAAGGTACTACAGGTTGAGTGTCCTTATCCAAAATGCTTCAGACCAGAAGTGTTTCAGACTTTGTAGTTTTTTGGAATTTAAAGTCACTGCATAGACTTTAGTCTGAAAATTCAAAATTTGAAATGCTCTAACATCTGAAATTTTTTGAGCATTCTGTTGATACTCAAAAAATTTTAGATATTGAAGCATTTCAAATTTTCTGACTAGGAATGTTCACTTTGCTTTAAAGACTTGGAATACAATGTAATGCCTTCAGTGTTTTATCAACAGTTATGTTGTTATATTAATATCTAGAACATGTATACGTTTTGTATTATGGCCGTATATTTAAGGACTGATACTTCTTTTCTTCTATTTCTGCACTAAAACAAAGTTACCATAATACTTTGAAATTTAGTGTTTTAGAAAGTTTTTTATTTGGTTGAAGTATTGTTTATTTCTTTAAGATGTCTGTTATCTCTCTTTAGTGTTTACGAAAATGGGGTTATAGAAGATGTGAAGATATTTGTTGGATTAAAACCAATAAAAACAATCCTGGGAAAACCAAGACTTTAGATCCAAAGGCTGTTTTCCAGAGAACAAAGGTATTGCCCTTATTATTTGATTTCTTTCTTATTTTTTTTTCTTCTCAAGATTTTCCAAGTCACTAGATGTAGTTGAATTTGGAGGAAAGATCCCCTTTTCCTCGCAGTACTGGAGTTTACATTTGCCAGGGCTTATGCCGCTGAGCTATATCCCCAGCCCTGGGAAGATCCTTTGTAAGACTTAACTAAATAGCATTACAGTATATATCTAAGTTAATTTAAGAAGTTTTTGTTCACTGTCTTAGATCAGCTCCCACTGTGCTAGGGAAAGGACTATATATTTCTCTTTGTTCCAAGTCACCATGTGTTTAGGTTGAGTATGGGTTTTAATACTCCTGACTTCCAGAATATTTCTCTAGGCTAAGAAGGAAGAAATAAGACTCATAGCTGGCCAGCTCAGAGACGTTTTTCTTCTTTCCTCTTTGCTACACAAGAACCCCTGAGAACTTCAGCTTTGTGTGACCATTTCACGAGTATTAGGCTTCAGCAGTTTTTGTTCTTTGCTCCTTAGAGAGCCATTATGGGGAAGGTTTTTCTTATTGAGTCTGTCATGGGCTGGAATCATGCCCACATAAAGATCAAGTGAGAAGACTAGCTTTTGGGTGTGAAACTGTGGGTTTTCTGGGAGGGCTGGACACCCTGAGAGGGCTGGACGCACCATATCTCTTGCCCCTTACCCTGCCACATGCATCTTTCCTATCTAGCTATTCCTAGGTTATATCCTTTGGTAGTAGCCTGATTTCCATGAGTTGCTCTGGTTTATGACCAACCAGGAGGGAATAAAGTCCTCTAATTTACTATAGCTGATCAGAAGCACAGGTGAAAACCTGGACCTGCTTGATATTTGAAGTTCAGGGTCATTCTGATGGACTGGGCCTTCAACCTGTGGGGGAGGGGCCTGCGCTACTGAAGTAGCTAGTGTCTGCAGCGAATCCGAGGATTGGCCATGTGTCTGTGTGAGGAGTGATGGATTCTAGAGGTATTACATATTACGGGGGAGAGTGCGGAAGGAAACAAGTTTGTTTCCTTGTCCACCTTGCAGTTTTCTCACATCTGGAGATCCAGGTTTCATGTTTTTGCCTGTAGATTCAGGGAGATGAAAATTGTCATGGAATTGAGGACATCAGAAATGTTAAGAAATGTGATGACTGATAAAAAACAGACTAATGTGTCTTCTCCTATTATTCAGGAACATTGCCTGATGGGGATCAAAGGAACCGTGAAGCGTAGCACAGATGGGGACTTTATTCATGCTAATGTTGATATTGACTTAATTATCACAGAAGAACCTGAAATTGGAAATATAGAAAAACCTGTAGAAATTTTTCACATAATTGAGCATTTTTGTCTTGGAAGGAGACGTCTTCATTTATTTGGAAGAGATAGTACAATTCGACCAGGTAGGACTTTAGTCTTTAAAAAAAGTCAATTTAAAAGTCAACTTCAGGCCAGGTATGTTGGCTCATGCCTGTAATCCCAGCATCAGGTGGTTGAGGCAGGAGGATCACTGAGTTTGAGGCTAGCCTGACTCAAAAAAAAAAAGAAAGAAAAATAAGAACTGCATGATTCCTTCTGATCTGGATGTGAAGAATAGGACATAATGTAAAATAAAACTCTTACATGTAAAATAAATTCTTACATATTTGATTTCTTGCTGTAAATCACACATGACCAGTTGTAGGTTTATAACAAAATTCAGGGAAGGATCCAAAGATTTCCTGTGTACGCCCTGCCCCCACACATTGCATCACTTCCCCGTTGTCATTATTCCCCCATGCTGAAGTGTTTGCTATAGTTGGGTAACCTGTAGGGAGATACCATGGTTACCTTGCCAGTGGTTTACATTGATGTCACCTTAGTGGTAAGGTTTAGACAAATGTATAGAGATACATATCCACCATTATAGTATCATATTGAATGGTTTCACAGCCTCCAAAATCCTCTGAGATTAACTGATTGATTGATTGCTTGATTAGTCTTTTTTTTTTTTTTTTTTGAGTTCTAGGCCTCATAGAGGGATGGCTGGGTCACATGGTGTTTTTTGAGGGACTTCCATATAATTTTATGTAACAGCTGTATTTACTGATATTCCCACTAACAGTTCTTTCTCTACATCCTCATGAAGCATTTTTTTGTCCTTTTGATAATAACCATTGTAACTATGGTGAGATGGTGTCTCATTGGGGCTTTATTTGCATTTTTTTTTTTTTTTTTTTTTTTTTTT